TCCAAATTTAACTGAGAAATTTTCCTCAAAGATTTTCCGCTTCGATTTAATAATAACCATTTCCGTTTTGGATGGATTTATCCTCAGTCTGTTCTGAGTGAACCACTTAAATGCAGTGAAGAGGTTACGTTCGACTCGATTTTTAAGAATGTCACTGTTTGAAGGCAGTTCTGTGTCCAGGAATTGGGCGTCATCTGCGTACAAAATCACTTTGCCGTAGGGCATGTGTGCGGTCAGGTCGTTCGTAAAAAGTAAAAATAGAACAGGTCCCAAAATGGATCCCTGGATCACACCATGCGTGACGTCATAGGCACGTGTCGACCCCCCTCTGATGACCTGAGTCCGCCCCTGAAGCCAGTCAGCAAACCAGTCAGGTTGGATACCATACCAACCCAGCTTGTCCAGGAGACGGCCGTGCTCGACGCTGTCAAACGCCTTCGACGTGTCTGCTGTTACTAGTGACGTCACTTGTCCTCGGTCGATGTTCTCAGTGGCGTATGTGACAGTGTCCAGCACAGCCGCCTCCGTGGACAGACCGGGACGGAAACCATACTGCTGCGGGCACAAAATGCAATGACTCGATAGATACGTCATCAGCTGGGTACATATCACTCGTTCACACAGTTTAGCAACTACAGGTAAAATGGAAATCGGTCGATAGTTGCTGGGATCACTCTTGTCACCGCCCTTGAAGAGGGGAGTGACAGTCGCCGCTTTCCATTCCCGAGGCATGTCACGGTTAACAATGCATGAGTTGACGACACGCAGGAGATGGGGACCCACGACAGGGAACGTCAGCTTCAGCATCTCGATGGTGATGCCGTCTGCACCGCATGCACGAGATGTTCCCTACGGAAGGCGCTAAAACACCGAGTAAAACGCATTTTGTCGAACATCAGCGATAAGGCGTCAGTTGTCTAGTACATATGTTGCTATTAGAGGTCACTGGTCATACCAGGTCAGGTCACAGGTCAGGTCACCAAAGGTCACCAAGGGTCACCACATGAACCCAACTAAGTTTGTGCGATGCATGTTTTATGGCCAGTTTTCCATTTCCAACTCAATGGTGTTGGTTATAAGACCAGCAGGTACGGTTTAGGCCACTTTCTGGTGGGGGTCAGGTCAAGGTCAGGTCAAAAAAGGTCAAATTTCAAAGTTGATATTCTTGCATAAAATGGGTATTGATTCGATGCAGCTCGTCGCGGGGAGTCTAATGGTGGTCTTTGTTTTGCGCTACGAGGTCTACATTTGCTAAAAATTGAGTTTGAAAATTTGACGTCATCAATTTTGAACAGTTTTTTCGCTATAACTTGGCCAAAAAAGAGTTATCGATCTCAAATTTGGTATGTAGATAGAAGGATGGAGGGACTATCACATATAATCCGGTTTTTCGAAATTCAAATCTTTTTGGAGTTTTTGCTATTATATTCATAAAACCTATTTTTTATTTTTGGGGGTCAAAATCCAAAAATTCGAAAAACCGAAATTGCAGTTTTGTAGCCCTCTTGATTCCACACCTTTTATGTCTGAAACATTTTTCTGTATCCCTAAAGGTGTAGGCCTGTCAACTCTTCCCGCGAAACCTTTTTTTGGGTCGAAAATGGCAGAAATGACGTCACTCTGACGTCATTAGCGGCCAACCTATCATATCCTTTGGAAACAATTTTGGTCAGCATGTGCGCTAGCTACTCCCGGGAGGGTATTGAAAGTTTGGTGACGATCGGCGCTGCAGTTCTCGAGATATATCGAAAAAACTGAATGGGGGGGGGGGGCAAAAAATGCCCCCCCCCACCGCCTGGAAGGTAAACCCGCGCCCTGGTGGGGGGTGTTGCCCCCACAACAGACTTTTCAATATATCTCCAGAACTGCTGCACCGATCGTCACCAAACTTTCAGTACCCTCCCGGACATCAATTTTACACATTGTGACCAAAAATGTTTCCAAAGGCTGTGATAGGTTGGCCAGAAATGACGTCAGAGTGACGTCATGTTCTGCTGTTTTCGACCTAAAAAAGGGTTTCGCAAGAAGAGCTGTCCGGCCTATAGCTTTGCAAATACAGAAAAATGATTAGAACATAAAAGCTGTAGAATTAACAGGGCTACAAAAACATTATCTCGGTTTTTTGAATGTTTTTGATTTTGACCCCCAAAAATTAAAAATAGGTAGCCGAAAAATGAATATAATAGCCGAAAAATCCAAAACAGTTTTTGAATTTCGACAAAAAACGGAGTCTATGTGATATTCCTTAACCCTCGCCGGCACAGGGGGGGGGGTGATGCAACCCCCCTAAGGTTTTCGCGAATAACTCGCGTAAAAAGCGGCCGACCGCAACGAAGCTTTCAGTACCCTCGCATTCCACAATTTTACACCTACCCTGAAAATTTCATGACCCTGACCCAAATGACCTTTGACCTGTGACCTCTTTTCCGAGACCATGTTTGGCCGGAATCGCGATTCGGCGTATGTCGGCTCGCATTAGCCGCGCGTTTGCAAGCTTTTCGTGGTTTCAAACGTTCAAACATGCATGTGATTTGATGTTGCTCCCATACATAAGGGTGGGTGTCAAGGTCACCTGAAGGTCAGGTCAGGTCATTGACCTTTGGTTACCTCGGGTGACCTCGGTTCACTTTTTCGAGTTTTACATGTTTCTAGGCTAGTTTTTGGAGCTGAATTCGAACTTAGCAACCATTTGAACATTTACGAAGTAGTTTTGGTGTCATCGTAACATGTTACGAAGCTGTCAGAGGCGGTTGACACGTATTACGAATACCCGTCACAACCCCTACCGGTTGACCTGACCTGACCTGACCCGACCTGGTCTAAATGCTTAAAGACATCATCTCTGATCAAAACTAACACGATATTCGTAATCAGCAACCCGGAAAACCACATAGTAGCCACACTTAACGACTTTCTAGCAGGTCCCGATTTTCCCGGTTTTCGGGTCATTGACCTGACCTGGAAGGTCCCCGATGACCTAGGATCTTAAAATTGGGTATCATCGGCTTTCTCTCGTGACGGGCAACACGCTCGTTTTTTCCGCGAAGCTCTAGCTCGATCAGGGGCCAAACGCGAGGGGGGTCGTACCAACCCCCCCCCTTGTGCCGTCGAAGGACGCAAAGTGGCCTGTGCCGGCGAGGGTTAACGCCTCTATCCACATACCAAATTTGAGCTTGCTACCTCTTTTTTGGCCAAGTTATAAAAAAACTGTTAAAAAGTGTTTACGTCAAATTTTCAAACTCAATTTTTGGCAATTCTAGACCCCGTAGCGCAAAACAAAGAACACCATTGGACTCCCCGTGACGAGCTGCAGCGAATCAATATCCACCTTTCTATGCAGAACTATCAATTTTAAAATTTGGCCTTTTTTTACCTGACCTTGACCTGACCTTCACCAGCAAGTGACCTAAGCCGTACCTGATGGTCTTATAACCAACACCATTGAGTTGGGAATGAAAAATTAGCCATAAAACATGCATAGCACAACCTTAAATAAGTTGGGTTCATGTGCTGACCCCTGGTGACCTGACCTGTGGTCAGCCTGTGACCTGACCTGGTAATGTCAGTGACCTCTACTAGCAACATATGTACTAGGCAACTGACCGCCCTATCGCTGATTCTCGACAAAATGCGTTTTACTCGGTGTTATAGGGCATTCCCTAGAAGACCCGTGAACGGTGAAACATTCCATCTTTGACCTGACCTGTGACCTCATCGGTGACCCCGAGGGCAATGAAATTTTGTTTCCCTCGACAAATTGACCACGGCGCGGGTTAACCCGCGCATGACTGGGGTATTTTCCATAACGCGAGTGACTGAGGGGGGGGGGGGGGCTCTCCAGAGCTCCCCCTCCTATCTCCGAAACTACTGGATCGATCGTCAAAATTCAAACGGCGTCTGATAGCACTGGAAAAACTGTCGAACCAAACCTATTTTTGTTGACCTCAAGGTCACTGATGACGTCACAGGTCAGGGCAAAGTAAAAATTATCGGCATTTTTGCTTGTTTACAATTTAGGCTCTGGGCGCCGACTGACATGTCCGATCAGGCTCATTTTTGGTTTACGCACTCCTTGATATATGCCTTAGATACCCGGAAGGTACCAAACTTTTACTTAGAATTTTTCAGGTCAAGGCCAGGTCATCCTTGGTCACCAAAATTGTATATCATGTATTGGTCACGTGACGCATGTTTTATGGTCCATTTTACATGTAGATTTCGAAAATAATGTCGGCTGGGTCATTTGAGGTCATTTTCAGCTGAATATACCGTAGGTCAGGTCAATTTCAGGTCAAAGAAGGTCAAATTTTGAAAATGAAATTTTTCAACAAAAAAGGTGCCTATCAGATGCGGTTGGAGCTCAGGAACACGATGGTGCCATTTATATTGCTGTACGATGTCAAAAACGTACTGAATAATGGTTTTGAAAAAATATATAAATGTAAAATGTTGACAATAATGCAAATAACTTGGCTCTTTTTGAAGATATTAAGCTAAAAATTGCTAGAGTAGTTTATCAGTTTATGTTCTATCACATATATTCCGGTTTTTGCGAAAAATCAAAATCTTTTTTGAAAAAATCAAAAAAATATATTTTTTGTAATTGTAAAAATATGTTTTTCGAAATTTTCAAACTTTCGAAAATTCGAGATAGCAGTTTGATAGCTACGTGTATTTGTAGTCCACTGATGCAAAGAAATTGGATCTAGCTTTAAAAATAAGCTCTTGAGAGCGTTTGCCGTAATTCAATATTTTGCATCAAAATCGGCCGACATGACGTCACTCTGACGTCATTCCCGGCCAAACTATGGTAGTTAGAAAGTTGAAATTTTTAAACAAGGTGTCAAATTGATGCCGCTGAGGGTATTGCAAGTTTTGTGTTGATCGGTGAAACGGTTTAGATGATATTGCCGAAAAACGGGAGGGGGCTCTGTAGAGCCCCCCCGGCATGCGCGGGTCAAGCTGTCATCAAAGATGACACGGTAGCTGACCTCACTGACCTGCCAGGAATGCGGCGAAGAAGCCGTAGGTGCCATAGTCGAAGATGGTGTGATTGCAGGCGGCCAGCAGGGCCAGGTCCCGCTCCACGCCGGGGGACTCGCTGCGTGGATCGCCCAGAAAGTGCACGTCGGGCGCACTCAGGTGCTGTCTGCGGGCGACACAGACGGACATGGTTCGGTGAGATAGTCATCTGTTCAGTGAGATAGTCATCTGTACTGCTGGCTGGTCGCTGAGGCAATTTCATATAATGCTTATTGCTTAGAGTATTTCTCTGCCACCTTGTTACCTCGCGCCGTGATGGGGCGAGCGGTGCGTTTTCACGCCTCCCGTCAGGTTTTTCACGAATAGATATCTCAAAAAGGGCGGTGTCGCCACGATGTCCTCTGGTTTCGTTTACATACGCCAGCGACACTGAAGTGTTTGGGCAGGACCGACCAGAATGAGTAATTGGAATAGATCAAAGGTCGGGAAAATCGGGACCTGTTAGAAAGTCGTAAAGTGTGGCTGCTAGGGGGTTTTCGGGGTGCTTATCACCAATATCGTGTTAGTTTTGATCACAGATGATGTCTTCAACCCGCGCCCCGTAGGGGGGGGGGGGGGGCGAAACGGCCCCCCTGTCCTTTTCCGTCGATATCTCCTAAACGGCTGAAGATATCGCCACCAAAACTTCAGGACCCCTCCGGGCATCAATTGTACACATTGTGACAAAAAACCAGAGACCACGATAGGTTGGCCACAAATGAGGTCAGAATGACGTCATGTTCTACAATTTTCGACCGAAAAAAGACCTTAGCGAGAAGAGCTGTCAGGCCTACAGCTTTGAAGATACAGAAAAATGATCAAGACATAAAGGGTGTAGAATTAACAGGGCTACAAAAATGTTATGTCAGATTTTTTTACATTTTGGAGTTTTGATCCCTAAAAATAAAAAAAAACATTTTTTAAATATTAGCCAAAAAATTTAAAAGGTTTTAAGAGTTAAAAAAAAACGGAATATATGTGATAGCACCTACCGTTTTCTATCTACATACCAAATTTCAGATCGATATCTCGTTTGTTGGCCAAGTTAGAGCGAAAAAACTGTTTAAAAATGATGACGTCAAATTTTCAAACTCATTTTTTGGCAATTCTAGACCACGTGGGACAAAACAAAAACCACCATTAGACTCCCCATGACGAGGGGCATCGAATCGATAACCATTTTATGCAAAAATATCAACATTGAGATTTGACCTAATTTGACCTGACCTTGACCTGACCTTCACCAAAACGTAACCTAAGCTGGCCCCAAAGGCTGCCTGACCTACATAATCGCATTTGTCATGTAAAATGGACCATAAAACATGCATCACACGACACTTTCATATTGTGACCCCAGTGACCTGACCTCTGTGACCTGACCTGGTATCAGTGACCTCAGATAGCAAAGTATGTGTTTGACGAACAATGTACCATCGATGGTTTTCAATAACTTACCAATTTACTCAATTTCACAACACATTTCTTGAAATGCCTGTGAACGGTGAAATTCCGACCTTTGACCTGACCTGTGACGTCATTGTTTTGACCTAGGTCAATGAAATTTGGTCACAAGGTAGTTCCCAGGTGGGAACTCCGTTTGAATTTTGAAAATCAGCCGGTAAATTCCCGAGTTATTGGGGGGAGGCGAAACGCCCCCCCCCCCTACTGGTGGAAGGGTCCGCCGATAGCCCTACGGGGCGCGGGTTAAGCATTTAGACTAGGTCGGGTCAGGTCTGGTCATGTCAACCAGAAGGATTCGTGACAGGTATTCATAGTACGTGTCAACCGCCTCTGACACATTTGTAACATGCTACAAAGACACCAAAACTACTTCGTAAATGTTCAAATGGTGGCTAAATTCGAATTCAGCTCCAAACACTAGCCTAGAAAGTAGAAACATGTAAACTCGAAAAAGTGAACCGAAGTCACCAAAGGGCAATGACTTGACCTGACCTTCAGGTGACCTTGATATCCACCCTGATGCATGGGAGCAACATCAAATCACATGTTTGAACGTTTGAAACCACGAAAAGACTGCAAACGCGCGGTTAATGCGAGCCGACATGCGCCGAATCGCGATTCCGGCCAAACATGGTCTCGGGAAGTAGGTCACAGTTCAAAGTTCATTTGGGTCAAGGTCATGAAATTTTTAGAGTAGTTGTAAAATTCATCAATGCGAGGGTACTGAAAGTTTTGTCGCGATCAGCCGCTTTTTGTGCGAACTATTCGCGAAAACCTTAGAGGGAGGGGTGCATCAACACCCCGTGCCGGCGAGGGTTAAGGCTAACTTATAGTTAATTGGACGCGTCTCGACGAGAGGAACACAATGCTGGCAAAAGTAATGCAGTTCAATTACATCACAAGTTTGTATCGAAAAATAGTTCTTTTTCTTCGCAAAAACTACGTTTTTAACCCTCGCCGGCACAGGTGATGCAACCCCCTAAGGTTTTTCGCAAATAACTCGCGTAAAAAGCGGCCGATCGCGACAAAACTTTCAGTACCCTCGCATTGATCAATTTTACACCTACCCTGAAAATTTCATGACCCTGACCCTAATGACCTTTGACCTGTGACCTCTTTTCTGTGACCATGTTTGGCCGAAATCGCGGTTCGGCGCATGTCGGCTCGCAGTAGCCTCGCGTTTGCAAGCTTTTCGTGGTTTCAAACGTTCAAACATGTGATTTGATGTTGCTCCCATGCATTAGGGTGGGTGTCAAGGTCACCTGAAGGTCAGGTCAGGTCATTGACTTTTGGTGACCTCGGGTGACCTCGGTTCACTTTTTCGAGTTTTACATGTTTCTAGGCTAGTTTTTGGAGCTGAATTCGAATTTAGCTACCATTTAAACATTTACGAAGTAGTTATGGTGCCTTCGTAACATGTTACGAAGCTGTCCGAGGCGGTTGACACGTAGTACGAATACCCGTCACAACCCCTACCGGTTGACCTGACCTGACCTGACCCGACCTGGTCTAAATGCTTAACCCTATTCCTGGCGGGGGGGGGGCCTCAGGAGCCCCCCTGAGGTTTTTTGGTTATTTCTCCCAAACGCGTTGAGCTAGGAAGCTCAAATTTTCTGACTTTTCCTAAAAGGCTTCTACGCAACATGTCTGAAAATTTTGAGTTGATCTGACCTCAGGTCAGGTCACCAGAGGCGGTTTGGTGACCCTCCCTCAAAAAAGTTTGCAATCACGCCAGAGCTAGAGTTGTTGACCGATCAATTTCTTCTCTTCAGGCTTTAGTTAGGGTACCAGTATGTGCAATTTGTATATCTCGGAATTTTGATATCGGTGACCTAAGGTCAGGTCAGTTTCGCGACCTCCCCATTATAAGTCAATGGGGGAAAAACCAACTCCCTGTTTTTACCACTAAAACGGGTCGGAATGGCCCCATATACCATACATGACTTCATATACGATCAACCTTCACTACCTTGAGGTCTGTTTTGCTGTTGGGCAGCTGTGAGGTCATGTGACGTCATCAAAGGTCACCAAAGGTTTTTGGCCAATAACTCCGTACAGGAACAAGATACAGACGCGTGGATGGTCTCATTGTGTTCAGCTCGTCAAGACGCATCGAATGATATACATGATGACCTCGAGGTCACGTGACCTGAGGTCAACCTTTGACCTTGACCTTGCGAGGTCAACATATGTATCATTCGATGCGGATTGACGAGAGGATCACGATGATGCCCTTAGTTTGTTCCTATCTTGACTAATTCGAAAGTTATTCGAGAAAAACTCTCTCCATATCTAGCGCCGCCATTTTAACTTTTTCGACCCCTGTGACGTCATCTTTGACCTGACCTGAAAATGACCTAAGTAAAAATTGTAGATCTTGACCGTGCGTATCCGATGCCGTTTACCGTTTGTCGCTATCTTGCTTCGTTCTCGAGATCTCAGGGGGGGGGGCCGAATCGGCCCCCCCCGCCAGTTTCTTGTCCCGGCGGAGCCCGCCAGGAATAGGGTTAAAGACATCATCTCTGATCAAAACTAACACGATATTCGTGATCAGCACCCCGGAAAACCACATAGCAGCCACACTTTACGACTTTCTAACAGGTCCCGATTTTCCCGGTTTTCGGGTCATTGACCTGACCTGGAAGGTCACCCGATGACCTAGAACCTTAAAATTAGGTATCATCGGCTTCCTCTCGTGACGGGCAACACGCTCGTTTTTTCCGCGAAGCTCTAGCTCGATCAGGGGCCAAACGCGAGGGGGGGGGGTTGTACCAACCCCCCCCCCCTTGTGCCGTCAAAGGACTCAAAATGGCCTGTGCCGGCGAGGGTTAAAAGGTTTTGCCCTCTGGACGCTAAGCCGTAGGCCTGAGGAGCTATGCTCAGAAAGGCCTTGAAAGAGCTATGGAATGCGCTTTTCCGCGGAGCTGTAGCGCTATTGGTTCCCGAGTTATGCTTCGGATGTTTTGAAAACGGCTGAAATTGACAAAATTTGACCTTTGCTGGCCTCTGGTGACCTGACAATTTATCTGATCATTGACTCTTTCCATTACTTTTTTTTACGCTCCTTCGAATGCCGCTTACCGCGTGTCTCTACGTAGCCCAGGAACTGAGTTAGACGGGGGGGGGGCGTTAAAACGCCCCCCTCCCCCCCAGCACAACACGGACTACTCAGACCATCACCACGCCGCGGGCTAACCCGCGTTTGACTGAGGGATGGGGTGTCTTCAGAGCCTCCCCTCCTTGTTTGTAGTTTCGTTAAAATCGCCCAACGTAATGACACCAAAAGTCCAGTGACCCTGTCTACACAAATCAAACACGTTCTGTTTAGGAAAAATTCCGCAGCTAACCGAATGTGGTGTTATAAGCAATAAGCTTATGATCTTCTTGCTTCTGAACCAGTTCTATCGCGTGACCACGATCACAAAGTTTCATCGGCCCATGTCACCAAACGGGAACTGCAGGAGCTAATAACGGTCACCCAGTCTACAGGTCACCTCGTCATTTTTTATTCCAAAGATAACTAGGTACACATGTCAGCGAGTCGTGTGCAAACTGCAAAGCCAGATGATTCCGCAAAGGGGTTCTCGTGGCTGTACCCGTCCCAGGGGTGTATATCAAGTCATTTGATGACTTTATCGGCATGCGCGGGGCTCGGCACGAAGAAGTCATGCATAATAGAACAAGACTTTCATGGAAATAGACTTCATAGAGATGCATAGAAAAAGACTTTTGCATGCTTTAATTGGTTTTTCTGTAAATACTAAAAAGAGCCATATCCGGTAGAATTACGAACTAACTATATAATTACTTATTAGTTATAGTTCATGGAAGAAAGCAAAAATGAAACTGTATTGCATCAGTAAAAATGTGTTATATACGTACTATAATAGCGCAGTGCGTATTCATACCGGCGAACTCAAGCGTGTATGGATGAGGGATATGGCTCGACATAATGTTTCTTGGTGCAGCGTAACGAAATCCGCTTAACGGGCACGTGGGTCCATGGCCAGTGGCCACCCATTCAACCATTTGGACTAAATTTCTCAGAAATGTGAATAAAATATACATATTTTATGCTGTATGTTTAGCTGGCAGTGTAGGGATCAGGTACAGTCGTGTACAGGTTGATGGTCCGCTACTCTTTATCCACCGGGTCACACACAGAAATATTGAGCGGAAAAACGGTGTAATTGAAAGTACCAAAAGGAACATTTTTTTGGTGTAAAATTACTCTGTTTTCTGCGTAAAAGAACACTGATATGTGTGTTTTGCTAGCTTCGGAGTGCTTCACTATTGTGTAGGAGAACCGCTTTCAGTGTACCTTTACCGCGGATCTCGCGTTACATTTACGCACAAATATGTGTTTTTGGTAAAAAGTACCAAAAGGAACACTCGCGTGGTAATCGTACACAAATTCATGGCGGTAAATTTACACAAATATGACGGTTATTATAACGATTTTTTCTCGTAAAGCTAATGTTGGGCCCGCAAAATTTGTAACGCAAGCGACACACGGCGGGACGTTGTCGCCAGCCGCGAGCCTTAGCTAAATGCAACGAAACATTGTGATGCTCAATGCCTGCCCCATGCTGCAAACACGTTTGTTTGTTTGTCGTTTATTATCAAGAATCGACATGACATCTGACGGAAATAAAAGTTAGATTAGCGTATATACCTTATGATGTATATAAGCTGATATTTCACAACGCATGGGCGCCGCTACAGGCCGCAGCCACCGCCCGTCTCCCGTCAACTGCCCGTAATTGATAAACAGAAAATATGTCATCTGTACGCACTACTTCACTGTGCCAAAATTATCGTTCATTTAACCCGCGCCCCGTTGGGCTCTGCCGAGCAACGCGCCCGGTTGGGGGGGGGGGGGCATTTTGCCCCCCCCCCTAAGATCTCGAGAACCACGCAACATAGCGACAAGCGGTAAACGGCGTTGGATAGCCCCAACGGGGAACTACCTTTTGACCCAATTTTATTGACCTAGGTCAAACCGATGACGTCACAGGTCAGGTCAAAGGTCCAATTTTCACCGTTTACAGGCATTTCAAGAAATGCGTTGTAAAATCGAGTAAAATGCATTTCATTGAAAATCATCGATGGGAAAATGTTCTTCAAACACATAGTGTGCTATTTGAGGTCACTTATACCAGGTCAGGTCACAGAGGTCAGGTCACGGGGGGGGGTCACAAAATGAAAGTGTCGTGTGATACATGTTTTATGGTTCATTTTACATGACAAATGCGATTATGTGGGTCAGGCAGCCTTTGGGGCCAGCTTAGGTCACGTTTTGGTCAAGGTCAGGTCAAGGTCAGGTCAAGGTCAGGCCAAATTAGGTCAAATTTCAAAATTGATATTTTTGCATAAAATGGGTATTGAATCGATGCAGCTCGTCACGGGGAGTTCAATGGTGGTCTTTGTTTTGCCGTACGTGGTCTAGAATTGCTAAAAATTGAGTTCAAAAATTTGACGTCATCATTTTTGAACAGTTTTTTCGCTATAACTTGGCCAAAAAACAAGATATTAATCTGAAATTTGGTATGTATATAGAAGAGCGCTGGGTTTATCACATATATTCCGGTTTTTTCGAAATTCGGAAAATTTTGGATTTTTTCTTAGTTTTTCAAAAAAATCATTTTTTTGATTTTTTTTGGGTCAAAAACCAAAAATTTTGAAAATCCGAGATAGTAGTTTTGTAACGCCGCTTTTTGTCTACTAGACCATATAAAGAACTTTGAAATTGCTTGATAACTGTAGATTCGGTGAGCGTTTCAATATTGCATGTTTTTTGCTCATTTTTGCTCGAACATGACCTCAGTTTGACCTCAATAACTCTTGACCTAAAGTGACCTAAGACTTGAAATTTTGTGTGAAGGTGTCAAATTGATGCCCGGGAAGGTACTGAAAATTTTGCGGCGCTGCGTGCCGCCGTTTTCTTGTTATTCAGGAAAAACCACAGGGGGGGGCCAAAATGCCCCCCCCCAACGGGGCGAGGGTTAATTAGCTATCGGCTCTCTGTTGCCTATCTGGCAAAATATTAGCATACCTATACCTAATTAACACTAGAAAAGCATGAAAGTGCATCCATTATTTTCATAACACGACAGCAGTTCAGTTGAAAAATTACAAGCCCACCTTAGCACTCCGACAAAGCTGGATAATTTCCAGCAGCTCCTCCAATGTCGCTCCGCTTCAGATTTTCGACTCGGTCTTGATTGCAGTTATCAGACGATGACCACAATGCACCACAATGCACTTATTATTCACTTATTCACTCATTACTCAGCTTATTATCCAACTAGATAAACACCACAGCACTGTTTTATCTCACTGATGTCACAAGAATGGGCAAACTCACTCTGCGCACTGCAGCCACAATACTCCCCCCCCCCGGCCCCCGCGGTCCCCGGCGCACAACTGACAGATTGCGAAAATGGCGCCGCCGCCGTCAGCATTTAGCTCAAAATTTCGCTAAATTTACACGGGTTGACGTAAACGAACGGTGCTCTGGATGTGTACCGCAATTACCAGTGTGACACAACACTCATTCGCTTATGGATACACTTGCTTTGCATGAAAACATATCAGTTAGGTATTTGAACATCTATTATGCTGTTACATTATCCTGTTTTGCGTAAAGATGCTTGTGTGGTGTAATAAAACTGCCGATGTTTGTTAGTTAACCAATAAACGTCGTATAAAAACAAACTTATTCTTGATGCCTTTACTTATTATGGCGTTGTGCGACGGATACCTTGCTTGTTTAACACGTAAATACTTAAACTAAAGATATTTTACTACGTGAAGCAGAACTTTGAAGCTATTTGAACTATTTACGAGTATATTGAACTTGACATCGCTCAATATTTCTGTGTGCTCAGCATTGGCAGTAGCCGCCTGGTACCGGTAGGCTGTGCCGCATGACCCGAGAGTGAAGCGGCACAGCCTACCCACACTGTATGACACCGGCTCGGGTCGCCTGGTAGAGCGATTTGACCGGACGCTGCGTTACACCGGCTGGGGGAGGGGGGGGGGGTAAGGGTCAGGCCTGTCAATCTGGCTCGGCTCGGTGAATGAGGCGGGCTGGAGTGTGGTGTGGGGAAGGGGTGATGTGGGGAGGGAGTGAGCGGACCTGGGGCTGGGCGTGTTTGGTCACTTGTCGCATAGAACCGATCATAATCCACCCTCCAAAAATTCGCTTTAGAGGTATTCACAAAACCCAGGGGGGTTCAAACAACCGTCTCCCAAGTGGGGTGCGGAAGGACAGGTAAGGGTTCATACGGTCTCCTCATGAATTGCAGCAAAGAAAGCAAACAGGTCAGTCACCAAATAATCTTTCTGAAAAGTGGACTAATCGAAAAGCCTCCCACACAGAAATAAACATCCAGCACGCGAAGCGTCTCGAACCGGGCCTCTCACCACTACCGGTCAATTTGACAGTCTAGCACTCCTACGCTGAGCTACACCGGATCGCGGATTAGGCCGGGGCAAAGTCCGGCCGGGCGGGCGGCGGGGCCGGGCGGTCGGTAGCAAAGTCAATGAACGTTTTTGTGGTTTCGGGTGCCGGTCGCTCTAGCTTGGTGGAATGATGATGGATCATTCGCAAAACTTTCAACGTGGAGTCCCGGTTCGAGCCTCATCGGGGCTCCGGCTACTTTTCCGAGTTAGGATCTGGTTTGATTTGAGTGGTTGCGAGCCATTTATACGGTTTTATACCTACATGTCGATTGTCGATTGATTGATTGATTCATTCATTCGCTCATTTAATACATGTCGACATTTAGCATACGAATTGACATCCAGGATCAATCTACTATTTTCATAAACGTATTGCCTATCATGCATATATGTGGCACAAGACCTATGGTTTCCTCGATACCGTGCCAAATCACGTTTTGCACAATGCACAAGTAAAGTAAATTATATTCACTGGGTCTTCCGTGCATTGTGCTTAGCAAAAAGAGGAATGCAATTGTTAAGCGACGCAAAATTTGCAATGCAGCAAGTGACCACACACACCTGCCCAGCCCCCAAGGTCCACCAACACGCCCCACACCACTCGCCAGCCCACGCCAACCACCGAGGCGAGCCCCTCCCCCGCGCTGGTCTGACGCAACAGCTGGTCTACAAAGCGCTCCACCCGGCGACCCGAGCCGATGTCAAACGGCGTGGGTAGACTGTGCCGCTTCACTCTCGGGTCATGCGGCACAGCCTACCGGTACCAGGCGGCTGCTGCCAATGCTGAGCCATAGGAACCCGGTGAATAAAGAGTAGCGGACCATCAACCTGTACACGACTGTACATACTCGTATGTACCTTCCAGCTATCCATGAACCCAGCTGGGTATAGGGATGAACATGCTTTGCAATGACAACGGCTTGCCAGCCAACACACCGTCACAAATCGCGACAGTTTCTTTCTGTTTGGATGCTTACCTGCACCATGGGTTGTCGTCGCTGGTTACAATGAATGCTGGGTTATTATACCGCTTCCTGCATAGGCTCATCGCCGAATGAAAGAATGACGCGGTCACGAGATGGCCATTAAAGACGTTCTGGAAAACACCAAAATGTGTGGTTGCCGGTTGGCCACTGCAGACAAATGCAAACACAGCATGTACTTGAAGCAAGTAAGAAGATTCTGGTAATTTGCAACTCAAAGCGCTATATTTAACATACAGCACAAATAATACAACGTCATATGTCTCGTTACTGCCAATTCGCTCATTTTCTCCTTGCCCTTGCTTACAGTGCTTTAAGTTAGCGACAAACGTGCGCTGAAACCGCCTCGTGACTGTTTCAAATAGTCTGTGGCGCAGGAGCACATGAAAAAGGCGTCGGCTTCACCTGCATATGATTGACGAAGTCTGTCCTTCGAACATGAACCCCGACAAAGGTGACGTTGCTCCTTCCGGCCGCCACCCTACGCAGGCGCGCGTTGGCGTACTTCGTCAGGTCATGCCTGTGGACATTGTGTGCTCATGCTATGTGCAAGCGGTAGGCGAATTCGTTAAATGTGATAAAATGTACATTGTCCAAGGCAGGTCACGTCTAGGTACCGTATACACTTGAAGTACAGTATAGAGATTCAAGTGCTTAATTACAATATTTTTCTGCATCTATTTAACTTCTTACTTTGATGTTTAGATTCAAGTTGTTTTATACACGTTGTTTTTATTTAAGAGAGCGTAACACTATGTAGTGTTTCTGATAATTAATTTCCTTTGAATGATGTCGTCTGAATGGGTAGCATCTCCTAGAGTTTCCTGTGGCTTAAAGGGAGATAATGAGCTTTCTTTTTTCTTAAATAAAAATTACTCGACATCTATACTATTTCTACTGTAGTTTCTATAAAATATGAAAATTTCCTAGCACATTTTCGTATGTGAAAAATGTTTTTATTTTTGCAAAAAAGAAGCAGTACTTGAAGTACTTGTAACACCCACCGAAATGCGTTGTCCTTCTCTATAAAAAAGTCGCAGTATATGGCGCTTTTGTTTCAAACATTGACGCTTGGGTTTTTGTTTATGTTATCGCCTTGTCGTTGCTTGGTTGTAAGGATTCTAATTTGAATTAGAGTTAATTCGGTTTAGAATTAATTAGATTCTAATTCGGGGGTACATAGTGCCTACTCTTCTTTGTTTCCAAGTATTATTTTGCGCCACAAATGAACGGCATGCGCCAGAAACGCAGCCAAATCTTGCGATTGCGACTACGAAATTCATTATTTTGGCCTCAGAGCCTGAAGCGAAAAATACAAGCATATTTATTTCAAAAAGACTTCAGGTTTGTCGAACGGTGTTATGAGAATTTTGGTAACAGTACTGCATTAGTTTTTCAGTGATGCCGCAAAAGTGTTGTATCTATCTTCTTTTATTGTGCAGTCGGCGGGACCGATTCAAAATTGAGTCGTTGCTACTAAAATAGCAGCATATGGCGACAGATGATGAACAGGAAAAATAGTTGCGTAAATTTAGACATAAACCACCCCCAAACCATTAATATCTTTTGAAGGCACTATAGACGACCATTAACTAACTAGATGTGATGAAGATCAAATGTGAGGAATACGCTCATTTTACAAAATTACATGCAAGTACCAAAAAGTGATGTAAGTACTTATTCAACGGTCATTTTCAGCGCTCCCCGCTAACGTGACTTCAAGTTGAGATATTTGCGGCAAGGTACCGAATTGAGCAAAATAGTTTTAATTTACTCCCCGTGGCCTAGTGGATAAGGCGTCCGTCTCCTAACTCGGTGGCAGCGAGTTCGCGGCCGGGAAGCTCCACGTCGTTTGACCCGCGTTCCTATATCAAGCCAGCTGGCAACTGGCGAGAGAGGGCCACGCTAGACCCGGGAGGACCGTGCCGCCATCTACCTGCGGCACGTTAAACTTTCGATCCAAATTATCACCGGTGAACCGGGCGCGGGCAAGGTGGGGTGGTGGGTCCGTGGTGTCATTCGCAACAAGCACTGCTTAGCGGGGCACCCGGGCCCATAGCCATCCACTCATCCATTCGGACAAAATTTCTAAAAAAAAAAAATACATTATAACTTGTTGTGTTTTGTCAGAAAATGGTCCTAACTCAGATTTTGTGGAAAAAGGTCATAATCTCCCTTTAACCGACTCACTACGATGGCCAAAGGCCCAAGCTGAGGCTTGCGTTGCACCTTGGGTCTCATTAGATTATTGACCTGTGATGCTTACAATTCGGCTGGAGGACTGCTGTATGTGCCTGTACGTTGCTGTGCAATCGCCAAGGTTTCCAATTTGCTCCCCTGTCCTACTCACATACAGGGTGTCTCACAAAAAGTGTACATATTTCTTTTGTGAATAGCTCCGTAAGTTAAAAACATACGTAAAAAACACAAATATCGCTGGAAAGCACAAAGCTTGCAAATTTATTCGCATATCATTTGCACGTCTTTATATTCACATACCGAATCAGTTTCCCATACTCTAGCTATGCGCTCATTTTTTTAGATGCTCAAAATGACAGCCTTTGCGCTCAGCGCACGTGGTGGCGCGCCTCATGGTCTCCTGAGCTACATGGGCGCATGTCTCCATGGTTATCCCGCGTATGGCTCCTCTGATGGCCTTTTTGAGCTCGTCTAGCGTGTGCGGCGCCTTCACGTACACGACATCCTTCAGATACCCCCATAGATAGAAATCCATGGGGGTGAGGTCGGGTGAGTGGGGTGGCCAGCTGTGGGGGGCCCGCCTGGAAATCAGCCGGCTTCCCAGGCGCTCGGTCAGCCAGGCCAGCGTGGCTCTTGACGTGTGCGCTGGAGCGCCGTCCTGCTGGAACCATTGCAGGCAAATGGTGTCCGCGCACTTGCTGTTGAGAGACCGCCAAAAGCGCTTCAACACTGCCAGATAACGGTCTGAAGTCACCGTCACTGGTTCTCCGTCACCGTCTTCAAAGAAGATCGGTCCGATTATGCCCTGGGCGCTAAGCGCGCACCAGACCGTCACTTTTGGAGAATGTAATGGGACTTCCAAAGTCTTCTCTGGCGGGTGTTTGCCCCAGTGTCTGTGGTTTTGACGATTAGGTAAGCCGTGAAGGTAAAAGTGTGCCTCGTCGGACCACCAAATGTTGCCGATGAAACTGGGGCAAGACGAGCACTTCCCTAAAAACCAACGGCAAAACTCCAACCGTTGTAGGCAATCAGACTTGGAAAGCTCTTGAGATGTTGATAACCTGTATGCCTTAAGCTTCAGGTCCTTCCTAAAAATCCGATGCGTGGAACAGCGGCTGAGTCCAACTTGTTGCGCAAGGTGCCGCACGGACACTCCAGGCTTTTCCTCAACTCGCCGAATGACTTGTCCGATTTTCAAAGGTGTTCGGGCAGTTATCTTGCGGCCGCTGTTTCCAGTGTTTTGATTTCCGACTGTTCCGTGAACCAAGAAATGTTCAGTAAGCCGTTTTATTGTGTTGGCCGGCGGTTTCTCTCTTATTGTAGGGAAATGAGCCCTAAATTTCCTCTGAGTCAATACCAGGGAACCGGTTTGAAGGTAAAATTTCACGATTATTTTCCTTTCCTCTTCACTTAACTGTCTCATGACTCTCACTAACAAATTGTATGTCAAATGAATTTGCACGAGCTAAGCTTCAATTTAAGCCTGAATTTGACGTGAGCGCGTGCTTATATGCTGAAATATCTTCATTTTAAATGTGTACACTTTTTGTGAGACACCCTGTATATTGCCATGTATGCAGCTGAATGTGTGCCTCAAGGATGCTGAAATAAAGACGATGAAATGAAATGATGAAAATGAGTTAAGAAAATGTAGAGGCTTCAAAGCAAACCAAAGCTCACTAGACATACCTGAATCGGAATTCCTTAAAAAGATCTTCACGATAGTACCAGAAAGTTCTGATTCGATGCAAGTAGTAATAAATATTCCACTTTCCCTTCCTTCTCTGAGTATCGTTCATCGCTTCGAAGTCTGGAGAAATATGGGTGAAGTTTTTCACACAGTCGTCCGCTACCACTGGCATGGTTGTATGTGGAAAAACTCGCGCTATCCGGCGGAGCAGGTACGGTGTTGCCACGGCCGTCATATTGTACCTGGGGGAAGAAACGGGGTGTTATGCTATACCTCAGGTAGAAGAATTCACCTGAGAGAGAGAACGCTATACTCAAGTTACGAAGAATGGGCCATGTGTTGTGCATTTCGTCTTTACCGGAAGGTGCCTATGAGACGATGAGAGACGATCTGTGAGAAGAGATAAAGCCTTTATCAAACTATATGACCCTGAAAATGGGAGAAAAGTCTGAATTTAAAGTTCCCCTATGCAAAACAACCTTTACCCCGCGCCGGCCGAGGTATCTTTAGGGGACATCACCCTGACGGTTTTCTCGCATTTGGCATACCTACTTGATGTATTTGCTTCAAGACAAGTCTTGTGACACTAGCCGCATGTTCAGGTCAGATAACGTCACTGTGATAAGCGAGTGGTAACATTGTGAAGCGTCACAACATAAGTGAGCTACCTCTGCAGTCTGCATGGTCCTAAAATGTCGTAACCTCGAAACGCCTTCAGTGTTTACCACACAAGAGAATCTATTACCAAGGGGACTGACACTGAACGTAATAAGCTCCCGAGATCTTACAACTTGTACATATGTCTCGGATTTTTCATAACAGTCACTTGAGGGTCAGGACGGTCACGTGGCTTCATCATTATAGGTCGGAGGGGGAAGGGGAGGAATCTGAAAACTGTTATTGATTTTACGCCGGATATGATCTAAGAATATGTCCAGCACATGGTGCCGTGACTTCATACACTCTTTGCAACACCAAATGATTTGTTTAAGTCGCTTGTCGCTACCTTAGTCGCTTCGGAATTATTGCGTTTGCTGTCAAGAACTCCCGATGAAATTGAGCTAGAGGGTCAGGGATGAGGGAAGCGAGCAGCAAAGTCAGAAATACCTGCTAAATCGAACGATATGCAAAATGAACCCATTTAACCAGCTTCATGAGCTGAGGGATTTTAATCCTCGCATGTGTAGGGGGGGGGGTCGGATGGACCCCCCCCCATGGTTTTTC